TAAACCAAATAAGGGATGAGAAATAACTATGCTATGAGCACACAGAAAGAGCACTACATGCTCTTTTCTATGGAGCAATTTCCACTACTGAACAGAAAACTCAGATTTTAAATTTACTCATTTAAATAAGTTTATTTAAATAAACTCAGAAGAGTTTAACCTTCAACATTCTTTGAAAATGTCACATGGAAACATTACCGAGAGAGCCAATTAGTCTTCACCTGAAGAAGGAAGCTTGAGGAGTCAACCAGATTGTTTAGAATGCTTTATCGTTATCTATGTCTGAAGCAAACCTGGATATATTTGAGTTTTGGCAATTCAATCTCAGTATGCGTCTGTGATACATTACACATTCTGATGCAATCAGTGCCCTTGGCATTAATCCAATCCCAACAGAGCTCTATGAGACAATTTGTTATATTGGGTTAATCCACAAAGTTTAATAGCATTGACTATCTGAATCTTAGGAGTATTTAAAATATATATATATTTCATACTATATGCGATAAACATATGAAGCAAAGCATAATACAGAAAGCATACCATAGAAAGCAGTGTTGTCTTCTAAGGCTGATAAGACAACATACAGTCAGAGCTTCTTACCTTTATAGTTTGAACAGGATTTCTCTGCACCCTACACTCCCACATGTTTTCTGTCAGTAAGGGTCATAACACCCAGTATATGAACAGAGGGCAGGTCATTCTGGAGGATAATGTTTGGGTGAGGATAGAACAAAGTGATCTGTTTTTCACCAATTCACTCTCTGTTTCTCCATATAAACTGCCATATTTCAGCATAGCTATTTCTTCTGGTCCATAATTTCCCTGTGCTTATTACATCATTATTTAAGGCTAGTGTAGATTTGGAAAAGGTTCAGAAAAAGGCAACCAAAATGATCAAGGGTGTGGAGTGACTGCCCTATGAGGAAAAGCTACATTTGGGGCTTTTTTTTGTTTAGACTTTCTTCTATGGTCAGCTACCTCGATCACAATAGGGTTGTTGTTTCTAAATGCACAAAAATAAGGGCATTAGAGGGGGGAAATCCAGAATATTTGTCTTCCTAAATGCCTTCAGGGTTAGAAGGACTACTTTTCCTAGTTATAACTTTTCTTCACTGTGATTTGAAGCATAATCCTATACATGTCTTCTCAGGAGTTAACGCCATTTAGTTCATTGAACATTACTCCAAGGAAAGAGAGTATAGGTTTGCAGTCTGAAAGCCTCTATTTTCTTCCAAATAAAGATGCACCATTCCATTTCAATAGCAATTCCCACAATTTAACATCAGAGATACAGTCAAACCTCGTTTCCTGAATGCCTCTGTTTTGGAATGTTTCGGCTCCTGAACGCCAAAAACCCGGAAGTAACTGCTCCGGCTTTCAAACAATTTTTGGAAGCCAAACGGTTTCCGAGATGTATTTTTCATCCCCCCCCCATTGACTTTGCAGCCAGTCCATTTGATCCTCGGTTTTTGAACTTTTCAGAAGCCGAACGATCTTCCAGAACGGATTGAGTTCGAAAACCAAGGTTCCACTATATTGAAATTCAATATTATCCAAACCCATTGAAATATCTCTGTAAAGTAGTATCCAACCAGACTAGAGCATGGGTTTAGGCCACATTTTTTAAATTAAGCAGGCTTTGATCCAGTCATAGGCTAGATAGGGAGGTCTGCTTGGCAACCCCTTGTACACTGGCTTGAGTTCCATGATATAAATATCCCAAGGTGGGATATAAATGTACTAATGAATTTAAAAGGCACACAATATAACTCTTTACAATACACACAACCCAGCTGTTATAAGTTTACAAAGAACTGACTGGGAAACATCCCAATCTAGCTGATTTGTAAGACATTTATATATTTAGAAATGGCTTGATTTGAGCCTCTTCCCCTTATTACAAAAAATGGTGGTCTGTCTTTTTTCTTGCCTAGCATATAACTAGAAAGTATAATGAAATGAACATATAGATCACAGGAAAATACATGATTCTTTTTTGCTACAGACTCTTGGTCACATTTCTTGAGGTGCATCAGCAACAAACATGATTCATAAAAATAACCCAATACATTCAAATAGAACAAAATCATATTAAAATTGAAACCAATGAAAGTGTTCTGAAACCTATTTACATGTTAACAGTTGTCACTATTTGTGTCTCTTAATAAGTTCCAAATAAATGTTGTATGAAGTGAAGACCCTACATTATTTCTGTGAAAAGCAATTGCAATTTGTTTCAGCAAAGGCCAAGCAACCCAATGGCAGGGGCATTGATCAATTTGTTTCATTCAGCACAACAGTGTTTGCAAGAGTAGCACTCCAGGCCATGGACCTAATTAGGCCCACCAGACCATTTTGACCATGCAATGCCCTCTTGCCAGTCACCTGGCATCATATAAGATGTCAGGTGTGAACAGGTAAAAGGTAGCTTGGGTGGGCTAAATGGGCTGCTGAAGCACCTTCGATCAGTTGATCAACAAGGTTTCAGAAGTACTGCATACATGGCTTCTGAAATGCCAATGATCAACTGAGCTGCGCTGATTGCTTGCACTTCAAACTTCAAGCCCTTTGCAAATAACTCTAGGCAGTGCTTTGAAGTCTCGATGACCAGCTGATAGATGGGGCTTCCAAGCATGGTGTAGGGCGCTTTGCAAGGGCACAATCACCTGACAGTTGGGGCTTCAAAGTGCCACATCACCTGACATCACCAGTCAAATGTTGTCTATTGGGAGTACGAGACATGGCCTGTCAGCTGGATGTGGTTCCCCACCCCTGCCCTATAGGGTTAAATGAGAGGAACTAAAGGAGCACACACTAAGACATATTGGGGACAGATCAAATCCCCTTCATCCCTTTATCTGTTGATAGCCCCATCCTTGTGCTGTATTATTGGTCATGCTATAGCAGGCATAGGCAAACTTGGCCCTCCAGATGTTTTGGGACTACAACTCCCATGATCCCTAGCTAACAGGACCAGTGGTCAGGGATGATGGGAATTGTAGTCCCAAAACATCTGGAGGGCCGAGGTTTGCTTATGCCTGTGCTATAGCATAGCAAAATGTTGGAAAATGACTTTTAAAATCCATCTGTATTTGCCCCCAAGCAAGAGGTGCAGAAAGAGAAAAGAGGGAAGTTATCTGACATAAGTTGAACATATCTCTATAACCTAGAAAATAAAGAAAATAGTGTTCGAGTCCATGCCACTCAGCTGTGGCTACAGAGAATCCAGAAATCAATTTGTAAAAGTAAGAGAAAGGTGTTGATGGACCTACTGGGCGTACAACGTTTGGGTACAATGTCTCCTATCCAGCTGACTGACCTGAGGCACATGGGCATCATGACTGGAACCCAGGTACTTGGCACCATTGTCTGTGATGAAGTCAGCATCACAAATGGATGATATGTTCATGCTCTGGGGCTGTTTCCTATGTCTATAGACCTGTGGGAAGAAGCTGTAATGATTAGGCGCATGAGGTCAGAACTATAGGAAGATCAGGGAAGGGAAGAAGCAACAGTTTTGCATCCTGTTGCTTAAGGGGTAGAAAGCTACACCATACAATGCATGATTCAAGGGAAAGAATCATAACATTGATATGTTTGGAGGGATCCAATACATGGCATGCTCATCTATGAATGACTGAATTCTGAAGGACAAGCTGGTTACTTGCAAAGGGTTGGGTGAGACTGGTATGACTGGCATGGCTAGGGATGTTTTCCTACTTTGCAAGTAACAGTAACAAAAAACAAGGCTGATACTGCCACACAGTGGGAAACATCCAATAAAGGCTCATTCTAAAGCATCTCTTTTTCTCATCTACTTTCCCCAGGGTTCCTACAGGAGAAAAAGGTTTGACAATGCATTCCTACTACACACAACACAGCTTTGGCATCTAGGTTATCTGATTATGCTTCTCTTTCCTTAATGCATGGACCTAACCATTAGAAACTTAATAGTGACATAAAAGGATTGCCCCAGCTAAAGTAGTTTACCGTAGTCTGTTGGTTGTTGTATATGCATATTTAAACATGCATTCATTCATTCCATTTTTTTATTATTCCACCTTTATATCAAGGCATTCAGGAAGGCACACCTATCTATTTTATCGCCCCACCAACCATGAAAGATAGGTAAGTTTGAGAGATGGTGGCTGGCACAAGGTAACCCAGTGAGCTCCTTGCCTGAGTGGTGATTTGAATTTGATCCAAATAATATGTTCCAACCACGACCCCACACTCCATTATAGGATGTATTCTATGGCAATTTTTCCTTATCAGTAAAAAAGGAATGCAATTTAATAATTATTTTCAGATAAAACATATATTTAGAACATACAACCTAGCATTCCTACAATTTGCACTTCAGAACAGAAGCAAATTATAGTTCAGTTTCTGCTGAGATCCATTTGTAACTTCCAGATAACCTTGCAGAAAGCTAACAAGCAACTATAATACAGCATCTGAATAAGGAGGTACAGTAGATATGGGTTTTAATATTTTATTTTATTTTTTAAATGAGATTCTAGCACTCATGTCATGATAAAAGTGGCATGGGCGCCAGCACAAAATGGCTGCCATGTGCAGCAAAGAGAAGAAGAGGTGACGATACTCCATAGCGGTAAGTACCATCCCAAAAGAAGCACTGAATACAACAATATACAAAATGGGAACTAAACATAAAGGGTTAGTAGGATTCAAGAGAAGGAACATATCTTAGTATGATGCTTTCTGCTGTTGTGTAATCAGTTAAGTGGTAGCCTTGATGGAAAAAGGGAAACAGGACATGACTGAAGAACATATTAAACAAGCTGAACCGACATGCAACTGAATACTAAACACCAATAAAATACTAGTAAGGCAATATATATCCTTACCCTACCTTTCTTTCCAGCTGTCACAGGCAGGCTTGGTTTAAAGACTTAGTTTCATGTTAGAAGAAAGCAGGGAAAATAACTGCAAATCCCCATAAAGAATGATAAGGAAAAAAAGTGTTTTCCAACCTGTTGTTTTAACTGATGGACTAATCTGTCTTTTTCTCTTTTCAAAGCCATCACTTCTTCTTGAGTTTTCTTTTTCTTTGAAGCAGACAGTTCAAGCAAGGCAATATTTGCATCTTTTTCACTGATGGCAGCAAGGAGTGCTTCCTGTCTGATAAGATTAAAAAATAATAATGAAAACATATGTTTTTTTAATTGAATATTTTAGTGCCTCTGAGGCAAAAGAGGCAACATTAATATATTAGGCATCATGAATGCATGTCTTATTCTGCATACAATGCACCCGCCCAAATTTTCTAGGTTCAATTCTATGTGTTGCTTATGATCAATTTTGAACCTGTTTGATTCAGGCAATAGCCCAGACTTCAATGACTGCAACATAAATCTAAGGAACTCAAAGAGTCCAAATATTGCTAATTTTCATAGTGTGTTTAGAACTGCACACTGCAAAGACTGCCACAATTAAATTGCAGAAAGGTTCATTTCAGTTCATTACTTGGAATATGAAGACAGTAAAGGATATTGGGGTGTCTAAAAGAGTTCCAAAATCTCATGTGTCAAGCTTTTTTTGTTCAATCTGACCAATCAACAACTCAAATATCTAAACATGATGGAACCTAATAAATTTAACACCTGATGATACAACATTTTAGCATATGATGGTACCATATGTCTTCTCTGTATAAAAGCTAAAATTAAATTAAACTGTCATGTGTACAGCATTCAGGCAAATTATTTTTATTTTTATTATTATTATTAGCCTTGTTCCATGACATTCCACAGTAGCTTGGATGAAACTGATAGAAACAAATTGAAACAAGATATTTAGAGCAGTTGTGGGATCAGGATAACACTGAAACTGGGGACTTCATCATACAGAAATGACTAAACCCACCCATGGCGTGTGATCCTATTGGTCTTCAACCTGGTCTGTCAGGACCCAAAACCAAGTCACAGCCTGATCTAAGGTGGGTCACGACAGCAGCACTACCACCATCCAAAAAATGGTTAAAAAAGAAAAAAATAAGAAATGGGACTAAAAAGGCTGAAAACTACCATGATATTATAGTGTCAGTTCAAAAGCAGTTTATGTCTCCTCATCCAGATAACTACCACTATCAGGTCCTGCTGGTCCTGGGCTATATATTTTAAAGTGGATATAACTACATGTCTCCTCAATAACGAAATTAGTACCTATATTTTGTAAAACTAATAATAAAGAATGCACATATTTTTATCATAAATATATAAAAAATCTGAACATGTGAAATATTTCATAATTAAGTGGGCACAAAATGTAAGAGAAAAATATTGATGGGACTATGAGGGAAAATATGACAATGTCACAGATTCTCGTTACAGAACAGCAAAGTGGTTAGTTTACAAAGAAATATACACAGGCTACCCAGCAAACCCATATTGCCTGGACCACTCAGTTTGTTTCTTTAATAGTGATTAGTGGTGGAGTCCTGTGCAGGTCTCTGGGGGCCTTTGTGCACAGGTATCAGTGGGCTCTTTGTCCCCTCCCTTTCTTCCTCAAACCACATCCCTTCTCCCTATTGGCTTCACCCCTTTAAAGTAAAATAAATATTGTGGGGCTTATTACCCTTCCACAGTGGAAAGGGTAACTTCTCTCGGATTTAACCTTCCACCTGAATTCAAAACGAATATACTCCCAGTCCTTCTCATGCCCTCCTCTCCCCTTAATTCTGCCCACAAATAAATCAACTCCACTTGAGGGGAAATAATGAAATTCTCACATTTTCTGAGCCTATCAACTCTCGGTAGAAGGATCCCACATGCTCATTTGAACAGTGAAATAGGAGGCAAAGGAGAAAACCCCTTAAAGAAAATTAATATTCAACACACAGTGATGGAATCTCTTTAGCATTGTAAATTATTAAGCAGAAAATTAGGCAGAAGCATTATACAGGAGATGGCTGCTCTGGAAGACATATATATTAAACATTCCATGTAGCAAAAGTATCCCTCAAATGATGTTTATTATCCTGGGATAGCAACAGTGAAACAGAACTCTTCAGTGGGGCAAAAGGGCATAAAGGAATTCTATCTATCTCAATTCCCCGTAATAGAAGAGGAAAGAAAACTTCAATCAAACCAAAGCAAGCCCCATTTGGGGGTATGTTTCCAATGGGCAGCTAGGGGCTTCCCGCTATGGGATAATCAAAAAGGCATGACCTTCTGAGTGTGTTAGACCAGGCATAGGCAAACTCGGCCCTCCATATGTTTTGGGACTACATCTCCCATCATCCCTGACCACTGGTCCTATTAGCTAGGGATGATGGGAGTTGTAGTCCCAAAAACATCTGGAGGGCCGAGTTTGCCTATGCCTGTGTTAGACCCTCAAGTGGAACAGGGTTGAAGGGAATGGCTGGGCTGATGTAGACTGGGTGCTTCAAATCTGCTACAGATGGTCAGATGAAGGTGATCATCAGGACAAGGGTGCTTGGGAGAGTGACTTGGAGAAGCGCAAGTTGTCACTGATCAATGAGTCCAAAAACCAACATGGCTGCCCCTCAGGCACTAATTTGATACTGAAAGAGAATGCGAATGCACATATGCATACATTCTAAATTCATTTAGTACACATATAAGAAATACGGTATGTGAAGAAGTGTGCTTCTGTGTAAGAACAAGCACATACATGTGTGTTAAAGAGATCCACAGTCTAAACAATGTCAAAAAGAGTATATTTTAATTTGTAGAAGTGGAATGAATAAAACACACACACAAAAATGGTTTTAGCTACACTAAAAAAAATCCTGTTAAGAATTAAACACTAGCAAATGCTCTCTTTTGATTGCTGTTTAACAGATTAACCATTTTAAGAAGTCTCCTAGAAATCTTTCTTTAAAAAATTGCCTTGCCACATCACAGTCTATTTAAAAGGGAATAACGTAAACACTTCTGTTTCACTCCCTCACCTACATTAGTCAGAGAACAATATTCTCAGCTTTATTAATAGAAACTGTCCATAACTGTTAGAAAAGCAGATAAGTGAAGTGATATAAAATTACAATTTCATATGTTAACAAATACGAAAGCAAGAGCAACCAGTACTGTAATTCTTACATCCATTATTATGGAATGCATTTTGTGTAAGGACACAAAAGTGCAATTAAAACACTGTAATTGAAAATGTTTGAACTAACAATATACACCCCACTCTTCATGTTCCAATCATAACTGAATGGAAAAGAAACCGCTCAATCAACTTGTCTCTATAATTGTTGTTTTCTTTCCCTTCTGACCCCAAGTATTCAACTTTAAGTTCAGTAGGAGGTAATGTCAGAGAGACAGTGATGAGAGATCCTATTTGAAACAACTTCTTTCTTTCACCCCCCAAAAAGGAAAAAAAAGTTATGTTCAAACATGCTATTAATCCACAATGGTTGCACATGTACCTTTAAGGAAATACACAAAGGAACATTATCTACAGTTAAAATATTTAATCCATGCAGCCGTACCTGAATTAGTGGCTGGTATTTATAATTTGCGTAAGAGCCTAATACATAATGACTTCACAGATGGCAGTCCAAAATTCTAGATTTATGTGAAGAAGTTGACCAATATGAGCTGCAGGCTGCATTCAGGTGTGGGGTGCATTGTGCTAGCTTTTGTGGTCATAGTGCTAGCACTTCTGTTCCAATTTCCAATGTTACTTTTACACAGCAGTACCTGTTGCAGTATGGAACTGTGGCTTTATTTGTCGAGATACTGCCATGTTGAGCTAAATTGCATTAGCACTAGTGGGGATGATGTGATGTGTAAAAGCAACATGCATGTTTCCACTCCTCCCCCCTTTCCACACATGCGTCCTTCAGTTCCCTCATGATTAAAAGTGCAGGCTTTTAAATAGACAATAGAAAGTGAAATATACTGGGAGACCTTTCAGCGACTGACAGCATTAAATGTGTTGGAAAAAAGTGAGTTGAATGTTTAAAACCTTCTTCCGTTCTAATCATGGCACTGAGGACCAAAGTCGGTATGATATTAACTGCATGATTTCAAGTAATTTGTCTTCTTTTATAAACTTAAATAGCAGCTGGGATTGAGACTGTGGCACATGGGGAAGTGGTTAACCCTTTCCTCTCAAATCATGGCCCCCATGAAAACTGTCCTGCAAACCTCAAGCCACCCTTAGAGGGCAGCACCAATGGACCCTTTCGTTCAGGACCTGATAGCAATTTCAGGGTTGGGAAGATTTTCATCAGGACTACAACACCCACTGAGCCATTGAGGAAAAAACACACACACCCTTGTATATTTTCCTTGTAGAAAGAAAAGAGTTTGTGGGGTGAGAAGTGAACAGAAAAAATAACACAAGATGAAAGGCTGAAACACTTCTTCACCTGCCAGTCTTTATTCCAGATTGCCAACTGCCACATATGCTAGTGGTATACAAATTGTTGAAATAAATAAATCAAAACAGAAGCGTTACATGCAACTGTGTGTCACATGTAATTTGACCTGTTATGAAAGTAGTACTAGCTCTTTATACTTCAAGAAATGTCCAATCAACTGACCCATATACACCTGACAAATTTGCTCTTCAAATTCTGTCCCCTATGCATGCACACCAATTCCTGGGGGCCAAGGCTCAATGTTATTTTTTTTAAGAGCGCCGTGGGCCCCCATTGTTTAGGGAAACACAGAGCTAGGTGCGGAGTGACAGCAGGACATAGCATAACATTGTGAATGTGATGTCAGGACGTCATGTCGGCCCCTCCTCAATGTTTTTTAGAAGATGGCGCCTCTGCCCCTATGTGATCATCAAATCATTCACACAAAGTAGCCAGATAGACACTGAAGACTATAATTTAAAATGGTTGTATTCTGCTTTAGGTTCATATGAATCCAGATAAGAACACATAATTTATTTATTTATTTATTTATTTATTTATTCATCGTCGTGTATGGCAATCATGAAAGCACTTGAATTTTGCACTTAACTGTATATTGCAAGCACTTTTCATAAAACATTTTAAATCTCAGTATCTCTGTTTAAATTTAAAACTTCAGAACCAAACCCTTCCCTGTGTGGACAGCCATTTTGCATTTTGTTGAGATGCAATATAAGTTTAACTGCTTCAACCTAGTGGATGCTAAACAAAAAAATTAACAACACAA